TGTGAGGGTTCGGTAGATTTGACCGATCTCGTAACCACCATGCCTCTTTCATTCTAGAACGACAAAAAATTATAACACCAATATATATATATTTAGACTAAATAGCTTAAATCTCATAACATTATACATTTATATATATATATATTTATTATTTATATTATATTGACCTTTCAGCCGTGCCTGACTAACAATATACAAGTTACAATGACGCGGCACACATGCACTCATGTTACTGTATCCAATAATATAAAACTGGCCTTTAATCTTTACAAAGTGACCAGTCTTGGCTGTGTTTCAGTAGACTAGTATTTTGTAAAATACAGTCACACTGAAATTATTATACATTATATACGTATATAGGTTATCGCTATTTAGAAGAACGTTCTTAAACATATTTCTCTTGAAACATAGAACAATAAATAAAGCAGTGAAGCAAACAATTATCTCTTCTAGTAACAACCTTTGTACTCGGTTGCTGCTTGACGTAGGTTGCTAAGACTTTTTAAATTTCGCACGTGGAGGATATGAAACAAAATATTTTTTTTAGTATTTTTATATGCAGTTGAATAACCAAAAAATAATAAATTTAATACCATAGAATTCCACTATAATCTACCAAGCTTACTACCTAAGTTGTATTTCAGTCTGAAAAAATATGAAATTTCGAGCAGACTAACAACACAACCTACCTCCTTGAAATCTTGACTCGAAAGAAAGAGATGGTGTCCTAAGTCTTTAAAATGGCTAAAAAAGCCACTAAGGAGACATTCTGAGCTTTCGATTGGTTATTCATGTAATATATAGAAGTAAGTGTACACAAGGGAACGTTTCCAAAGTTGGAAAGAGGTGGGAAGGGTGCCACTGTGTTTGATTCATTAATAAGAAATATCTTACCAAATAGAACAGATAAGAGGTTCTTATTTTATATTCTAGCTTGTCAATGTCGATCATTTGAGTTCATAATTCGTACAAACTATAGACATCACAAACATCTAATCTAAACCAGTGCTGCATTCAACATACCACGTGACACACAAAAACCGATGTTTAACTGTGTTTTTTTTTCTTTACTTTAAAATTAAGAAAGCGAGTAGTGTATAATACTAAAATAAGGATTATAATCTACAGTCAAACTTATTGACATAAATTCATGAAATAGTAGTTCAATAAAATTTTAGTGCGAGTCAACAAGCACGATGACATGGCCTTTCACCCGTGACCCGTCTGGAAATAGTTCATCAGTTTCCAATGACGACCCGGCCAATTGTTAGAGCATAAAGTTGAATTAATATAAGACTAATTATTTTCTCATCGGAGGTTCCTCCCTAGATGAATGAAATGGTTTGTCAATTAGTCAATTTCCATTAAGTCCCTAACTGAATCTTTGTGGTTTACGCTGAATGGATATCAATATTTGTCAATTAGTCAATCTTCATTAAGACCCTAACTGAATCTTTGTGGTTTACGTTGAATAAATATCAATTCTTCCCATATTAAAGATTCCTCTTTAGATTAGTAAAATCGTATGTCGTCTAATGAATCGCCATTAATAACCCAGTCAAATGCTGGATATTTAAATTGATGTTCTTTTTTTTTTATCCTTATGGGATGTTTTGTTATCAATTTAAGTCCACTGAGAACCCAGATTATTATGATAAGCTGAAAAATCTCAGTATAACGAGAATCAAACTGAATTATGATTGCTAATGCACTAACTCACAACTAAATATGAAGAAATAGATTCAGCTTCAACGATATTGAAGGCTAAGGTCGCTTGCTTGTAAATAAGATGATAATATGTATAAATGTTATAAGATAAATATCATCAGTTTTGGTCAGAGACAGTTTTATGCGTGATGCTTATTTACAAGATAAAACAATTTTACATATTTAAAGACACATATAATTAACTAAAACCACTAGTAAATTCGACTGTGTTACCGTAGTAATAGATATATTTAAAAGAATTCCTTGGGTGCGAATTCTTATGTTATCGATTTATAAGACACAATATGTAATATTATCTTCTAGTTTGAGGTTTCAGAACATTTACAAAAATGAAATTTGTCAACGACAAACGAAAAATAAATATCCTGACAATATTTATTTTGCTTTCTATGGCGTTCTATTTGAATTACAATAAATCTGAGATGTGTTTTTGTTTTCATAAAAACAACTTATTACTAATATCTGGAAAATACAAATGTTATAATGCATTATTTTTTTAACTTATTGAAAAGCATTTTTCTTAGATATTAATTCGAGGGAAAGTGAGATGACACTACGATAAAAAAGTATCTGTCATAAATGGAAAGGTGTTTAACATAAAATGGCATATGTTCATCGTAGGTTGAAACTATTTAACTAATAACGAAATGTGTTCAAAAATGACTCGGCCGAAGTAACAGTCAATATTTCAAAAAGTATACTATAAAAAATTAGCGATAAGTCTTGACTGAACTTTTTTATTAAGAATTGTATAATCTCTGTATTATATCACTACGTGTATATGTATAATATACATAATATATATATATATATATATATAATGCTCAAATACTAATAGTTGGTTCTAGAAGGTACTTCTGAGGAATTATTGGTCTGGTATTTCCTTGGCAACCGCTTCCTTTTCCAATCATTCGAAACATCGCATCAAACAACTCAGCAACAAAAAATATTTAGTAGGATTAAATATTTATCCAGCAACCAAAAGCCCCCCAGTGGCATAGTATTCTGAGGACTTACAACGCTACAAACTAGATTTCGATACCCGTGGTAGGCAGAGTACAGGTAGCCCATTGTGTAGCTTTGAGCTTCACTACAAGCAGCCAAACCAGAAACCAAACTACATCCATTTACCAAAATTCAAGATGATTATAACATTTTAATTTTGTTTCGTATTACAATGTAATATCGTGAATCACGCCATGCTTGTACTCATAATCAAAACTTCTGAATAGTAGGATTTTCCTAAGATTATTAATCTATGTAAGGTAAAACTACTTGTCATAACTGTAATCCTGGAAGCAGAGAGTATAGAAAAATGGTATTAAATTGTTTTCATTGTATTGTATTGTAGTATATATAAAAAAAGTCTGTTTTGCAATACTAATTCTCCGTTGCGTTATACCAAAACTAAAATCCAGACTTATTAATAATGGAAAAATATTTTTAGCCAAGATTGTTTCTATTCAAAATTAACGAATATTCGGTATTATATTTATGATTTTTTAAAAATACATGTTGGAATGAAAATATTTCTTTGGATATTGTATAAAATTTCAAGTTGTATATATTTGGGAGAACAACAAAAAACATTTGCAGCTTTTGACACTTTTATTTCTCATGCTTGACTATGAGCTAATCGGTTTTGTAAACCAGTTTGGTTCAATGAGCACCTAAGAGTGTTTGTCAAATTGTATACTTTAATGGGACAAGGAATTATCATTGTCGTAAATATGTTATCAGTGCCATGGAATTCCACTGCAGCTCGAGATGTCGCAGAAACAAGAAGGAATTGTTTGTTTGTTTAAGCGTAAAACTTCGTTACAATACTTAAATAATCTGAAGTATCTGGTTACTGCGCTCCTCAATTACCCAGCTACTCGTCTTAAATTTAACTAGAAAAAGAGGTCAGACTTCTGGAAAATTACTTAGATGTGTAATGGTTTAACCTTTACAAATCCAGCTCTCAAACATTTTTTTATCCCCACTAAATTAGATTAAAGAAGAAATTCAAATGAAATGAGTTTAATGATTAAAAAATGTATTAATAAAGAAAAAAAGATGCGCGTGCCACTGTAAGGGTAACGTTTCGCAAGAATTCGTAACGTCACTCTTTACTTACGAAAATAAATTGAAGCAGAAACTGTAGAAAAAGAACTTTAATCTAACTAAAATAAACTGATTACTTACATATCTAAAATAGTCAGACTTCTGATAACGTTTAGTTTTGCTGTTTCTATAGTAACCCTGCGGCTTAACGTCAGGATCCTTAAAAAGAAATGTTTCGTCTTCTCTGCTGTAAAAGATTGCAATCCAATAGTTACCACTTTTTTTTTAGTGTCATAGATGGATATGAATATGATAAAGCTGAACCGTAAAACTACAAGATACTACATTGATTGCACAAATATATATTCAATGTTAATATAATTGATTTATTTGTTTGTTTGAAATTAAGCACAAAGCAAAACAATGGGATATTTGAGCTCTGCCTACCATAGATATCGAAGCCAGGATTCTGACGTTATAAGACCGCAGACATGCCGCTGTGCCATTGGGGGGGGGGGATATAATTGTTAATCAGTTATGTGGGAAATAATATTTCAGCAGTAATGCCCAGACTCTTCAAGAGTTATATTTCTTACTATGTTTTATAACAATGCAGTAAGAGCAACATTTCCTACTATGTTTTATAACAATGAAACAACATAACTTAATAAGTTATGTAACAATGAAGCAAGAGTAGTATTTCTTACTAAGTTATGTAACAATGAAACAAGAGTAGTATTTCTTACTAAGTTTTATAACAATGCAGTAAGAGCAACATTTCCTACTATGTTTTATAACAATGCAGTAAGAGCAACATTTCCTACTGTGTTTTATAACAATGCAGTAAGAGCAACATTTACTACTATGTTTTATAACAATGAAACAACATAACTTACTAAGTTATGTAACAATGAAGCAAGAGTAGTATTTCTTACTAGGTTATGTAACAATGAAGCAAGAGTAGTATTTCTTACTAGGTTATGTAACAATGAAGCAAGAGTAGTATTTCCTACTAAGTTATGTAACAATGAAGTAATAGAGGTTCCAGTACGTTTTCAAAACAAGAAACCCAGAACACCAGCAAGAACATACCGATAAATCACGGAAAACAGGAAGTTTAAGAGATGTGATTTAAGCATTTCTTTGTTCAAAGAATCTAATTCGTCCCTGTACTTTAAGCGGTTCTTTGTATAGTTTATAATAATGATAATACTGCTTTTTTTCAGATCTTTTTCATCGAGTAATTCTGCAGAGTGGATCAGTTTTTAGTCCCTGGGCCATCGCAAAGGATTCGCTGTTTTATGCTCGTCAAGTAGCAAAAAAACTCAATTGTCCCACGAACATCGATACCTCAACGATTGAATGTCTTCGTCATCGTCCACTTCAAAAAATATTAGACGTCTACGTAGAAATACCTGATTATCTAACAACGTTTGGGCCAACAGTAGACGGCATATCATTACAGCATGATCCAGAATATCAGATGGAAGAAGACAGTGATATCAATCGTCAGTATGACCTACTTTTTGGCGTTACTCGAGCAGAATCTTATTTTCACTTTTCAGCTAGAGAAGAGATGATAGGTATCAACTTGGACAGACGAAATAGAATTTTCCGAACATTGGTTAGAAACCTCTATAATTACCATCAACAAGAAATTTATCAAACGATCATCAACGAGTACACCGACTGGAGTCGTCCTACTCAACACCCTTTTAACTTACTGGAAGAAACTGTTGATGCTTTGAGTGACGCTTTGGTTGTGGCACCGCTTGTCAAGTTAGGAAACATGCAAGCTCACGTTCGTCAAAACACTTACTTCTACGTTTTTGGCCACCAGTCTGAAGTAGGAGACTATTCTCCTAAACTTGGCTGTATCCACAGTGAAGAGCTTCCCTACATATTTGGTGCACCGTTAGTAAACACTCTAGCACATTTTCAACCTAACTACACTCGGCTAGAGGTGGCACTGTCAGAAGCTGTTATGACCCACTGGACGAACTTTGCTCAAACTGGGTAATGTATGAAAGCAACTAGGCAGAACGGTTTTTGTTGCTATTTTTTTTTAGTTTTTGTAAGATCACGGATGCTTATTTTTTAAATCTACTGTTAATGAACAAACGTTTGTTCGTGTAAAATAGTAGAAAGTTGATATTCATAACACATGAAAATTACTGGTTAGAATCTTTAGCCAACTAAAACAAAATGTCTCAGTTTTTAGTTTCCTTGGTTAATAAAGTTAATACCTGAAATAACTTTTCCACCATCCCAGTTGGTTTGTAAGACTCACATGGACTAAGCCAGTTATTCTCAATTTTCACTTCATTGGTTGCTAAAGAAAGACTTTGGCAAAGCTCTTAAAAATTATCCCAGTCAGCTTGTAAAGCACACGTCATTGTGCGCAATCAAATCCAATTATTGTTTTTACTAATATTCTAACACGTTCTTTATTTGTAGGAAGTTTAATATAAATAAGTTAACTCTGTAAAATTTCGAAGATGACCTTAGGTGGCGATTACCACGTACACGGCCAGTAACACAACGTTTTTAAAGAGATCTTACACTTTAAAGATCTCATAAAATCTCTTCTACTTTGTTTCACTTTCTTCTTCCATTTTTTCTCTCTCCTTTTGGATAAACATGCGCTTGTGTACGTACGAGTGTGAGTGAGTGTGTGCTGAAGCTAAAACATAAGACAATGGTTTGTTTGTTTTAGAGAAAAGCCACATTAGGCTATCTGCTGTGCCTACCGCAGGGAATCGAACCCCGAATGTTAGCGTTATAAGTCCGTAACCTTACCGCTGCCCCACCAGGAAAGAATACAATAGTATAGAAGGACAAAATATTTTCATTCGACCTGAATTCTTCTTGTAGATCGTACATTTCTACCACTGTACGAACTGTACATCCGCAGAGAAGTTTTCGAAACTTTGTATGTTTTTGTGTGTGTATGTGTGTGTGTGTGTTTGGTCCAAGAATGACTTAGTTGTTATCCTTTTCCTGGCGGTACCCTAGTTGTGGCGGACCGGCATGGCCAGGTGGTTAGGGTCGCTCGACTCGCAACCTGTGGATCGCGGGTTCGAATCCCCGTTCCACCAAACATGCTCGCCCTTTCAGCCGTGGAGGTGTTATAATGTGACGGCCAATCCCACTATTCGTTGGTACAAGAGTAGTCTAAGAGTTGGCAGTGGATGGTGATGACTAGCTGTCTTCCCTCTAGTCTTTTACTGCTAAATTAGGGACGGCTAACTTAGATAGCCCTCGTGCACCTTTGCGCGAAATTCATAACAAACAAGCCTTAAGTTGTAGTTTACAGTATGATTAGAATGCATAATAGCATCTGTGAACTTTCATCCATCTTTCACTGATTTATATTAGGATTTCAAAAGTAATTCATCCATATAAATACTACATCTGGATTGAACGATTATTGACTGGTATAAGGACAACAAATAATCTGTTGCCTTAAATCACCAGTCAATAACTGTTTTATTCTACCTCATCCCATGTCTTCTCTTTTCAGTTTTGCTAAACAAATCTGGTTATTTGGTGCTTTTAAATAGTATATATATCCTACATTCCTGGGCGTGCATGTAATTCTTAAAGTTTACCATTTCATTGAAGATTTTGATTTCATTTTAAGAACATATAATATATAAGTAAGATTTACAAGTTGTTTAATATTCAAAATAGAACAGCCCCCCATCGTGTGATATAATCAATAAAAGTATAAAATATGCACTGATCTAATTTCAGCAAATAATTTGCCTAGAATGTTGGCAAGTTTTCCGACGTGTTTTGAAATTAGGCCTAAACGATTCAGCATGTTTTCACTACGTTGCAAACATTATCGTCTACAAAATTCTGCTGTCCAAACGACTATACAGCTATTCACTCGTGAGTAATTGAAATCTTATGCCATTTTACGAGACTGAGCAAATTATTTGTAATTAGAGCTAAATAAATCAGCTTTTTTTATCAGTATGCTGCAAAAAACTGTTGTCTGTTAAGTTCTGGTCAAAGTCACGCAAGCACGACAATGGCATTGAAAACCAGGCAACATTGGATTTGTTGCCCAACTTTCAAAGCAACATTAAAAAATGTTTCATACTGCGTTATGCGTTCTCAGACATGATTGGCAAAACATTCATGATATAGGATACAATAACAATAATTCTTATCTCACGTGAAATGATGCAGACGGAAGTAATTTATTTCCATAGATCATGAGGGTAAGCCGACTTAACTGATATCACAGTTAATGACAGCACCACGTAATACGAGATTTTTCAATGTACTTCTAGGAATGATAATAATATATTAATTTAAAAAAAACATTCGTTCGTTTTAATCACTCATATATAAAGAGATTAAGAAAAAACTGAATTAAAGTCCTGCTATCGGTCGTAATGCCAGAGTTAATCAGCCGGACTGGGTTAAAAGTTTTAAAAAAATCTTAGTTGAAACATTATTAATCTCAATTGTCTAAGTTAATCAAACTAGCTGGGTTACAGCACACAAATTCTTTGTTGAAACGATATTTACGTCAGCAGTGAACAAAGTATCGAGTCAACAAGCCCCTAGTGATGCAAAATATTACTGAAAGTTGAACTTAGCGTCACTATATAGTTATTTACCTAAAATTATATGAACATGAACAAAATAGTGTCAGCTCAAGCCATATAGAAATGACATTTTTATTCTTATTTTAGTAATTATGAAAAACCTTAACAGTGATTATTTCTTATTTCATAGGAATCCGAATTCGACCTCCCATAGAGGTAATGTGGATAAACTTGCACCAAAACTCAATCGTTTCGAATGGCAAAGATATGACTCCTCATATCAGAAACACGTTACTATAGGTAAGTTATTATTTGCTCAGAAAACGTGCGTTGGCTTTTCGGATCCAACTTCATTATATATATATATATATACGTACGGTTTCTTACATGAGAAGCAGGTAAAAATTGGCAGAAGCTCCTGAATAGCAGTTCTTTTATCATGCTACCTAGCAAATGCGAATCGATGCATTGCAAAGCAAAATGAAGGAATATCAACGAGACCACCTCATTAGGATAAAAGCCATATAATAGAGACTGTTAAGGAAACTGCGCATGAATGAAAATGCTTTGTTTTACGGTCTGCCAACGTATTTTATTGACGTTTGCTTACAGAGGAACAATAAATTTCTGGTAACTGGTTTTGAGGGATTAAATATTTATTCCAAACTGGAGATTTCTAATGGGGAAAAAAAACCCTAAATACAGCATCTAACTGTTAAACAAATAGTTGTTCTATCTTAGTCTAACAGTGAAATTTCAAGCAAGTGAAATTATATTTATTATAGATATTTTTAAAAGCTATGTAATGCTTGTTTTTCAGCAAAAGTCTAGGATTTTTAACGTAACGGGAAACACGCCAGTGAACAGAAACGTTGTACAGTTAAAGAAGTATTTAGGCAAGTTTTTGTTCGAGGCATCTAATGTCCAGGTTTTGATTCCAAACTCTCTAACTTCATGGGAAACACGCCAGTGAACAAAAACGTTGTACAGTTAAAGAAGTATCTAGGCATGTTTTTCGTTCGAGGCATCTAATGTCCAGGTTGTGATTCCAAACTCTCTAACTTCATGGGAAACACTCCAGTGAACAGAAACGTTGTGTAGTTAGAGAAGTATCTAGGCAAGTTTTCGTTCGAGGCATCTAATGTCCAGATTTTGATTCAAACGCTCTAAAAGTGTAGCACAAAGCTACAAAATGAGCTATCTGTGCTCTGCTCATCACCTAGTTTTTGGCGTTGTACGCCTGCATACTTACCTCTGAGTTACTAGAGGGCCATTCTAAAAGACTCAATTTCTGGGTATAAAACTTTACGTTATACTATTCTATTTCAGGAAAACAAACTTAATGCATTTAAATTCATAACAGCAATCTGATCAACAAGGTAAGAATAAATAATAATTTCACGTGTACTTTCTTTCTAAAAACAAATCCACGTGCAAGTTATGACGCTAAAATTCGGGGTTCTATCCCAGTCAAACACACCAGAAATAGACCATAGTCTACATTCGGCTAAGACAAAATAAACAAGCTAAAAAAGTAATGCTTCAAAAGTACTTTCCTTCTTTAGAGAAAAGCTATGATACAAATTAAAACAAATATTTCGTGCTCCATTATTACCAAAGATTGATAAGGTAAGAATCGTATGAGAAACCTTATTTCCATATAACAAAATTAACTTATCAGGTAAGAATCGTATGAGAAACCTTATTTCTATATAACAAAATCAACTTATAAGGTAAGAATCGTATGAGAAACCTTATTTCTATATAACAAAATCAACTTATAATATAAGAATCGTATGAGAAACCTTATCTTCATATAACAAAATCAACTTATAAGGTAAGAATCGTATGAGAAACCTTATTTCTATATAACAAAATTAACTTATAATATAAGAATCGTATGAAAAACCTTATTTCCATATAACAAATTCAACTTATAAGGTAAGAATCGTATGAGAAACAATATTTCTATATAACAAAATCAACTTATAATATAAGAATCGTATGAAAAACCTTATTTCCATATAACAAAATTAACTTATAAGGTAAGAATCGTATGAGAAACCTTATTTCTATATAACAAAATCAACTTAACCGCATTTTACTGAATATTAGATCTAATATTTATAAAATTCTGCAAACTCACAGGTTGTGTCACTACAAAAGATGGCGATTTCTATTGAAATTCTTTTATATACTTTAATTTCCTTGCATTACCTTTCTTAGTTGCTCTTCTACGTTTCATTAAACTTGACTTTGAAACGTGACAACCATAACGGTGAGCTTAGTAATTTGCATATTAATTGGAACTTCATTAATTTGTTGGAGATCAATTTTTATATTGTATTTAGAAATCGTTTATGTCCTTTAATCAACTTTTTGAAAACTTAATTTGCATTTAATTATTAGGTTTACATTTTTATTAAAATATGTTTACTTTTAATTATAATGCTATAATCCTTAACAACCGCATTGTTCTTTCATATCTATATCACTTGTTTTAATTCGGAGTAAAAGGAGCGGGAATATGTTGTAAAGATCCAATTATGGAACAAGAGCCACTTGTTAATTAACTGTTCTGTTATATGTCTCTAACTAGTGTTCAAGTCAGGAAAATTTCGCAATGCAGCACAATCATGTAACCTTGAAATTACAAAATGCAATCCATGTATAACATTCATTGGGAAAAACCTCAGAAAATACTAATCCTGCCTGTGACTTTGGTTTTTTGTATGTGTTTCTAGCTACAGAAGTAAAGAAGTTTGAACTTCATTTGTTATTAAACTGTCATACGCATAACTTTCCCATTAAAATTCACTAACTTTGTAGTTATTAACATTCGCTTATTCGTACAGCATGTGTTTCTAATATTCTGTTTTTCCCCTTTAATTAACTAGAACCATCACAAATACCATATGTTTGCATTCGATATTACTGCTATGCGTATTTTATAAACAATTCTTCATTGTTTTCGTGAAGTAATATAAAGTGTGCTTCCCCTGTTGCATACAGTGTTACTAATTTTTTTTTAATTTTTAATATATATATATATATATACATATATATTTTTTGTTTATATCACAGATGAATCCTGAGACTATAGCGCTACATTTTTCACAAATCATATTGACTGTATATCACATATTATTTCTGCTTAATCTTATGTGGTTTCGCGTAATGGAGACTTGAATGTGAAGGGCTCAGAATTAACACAAATAGTGGCAGATTTAGCGCCATATCGATATCTGATTACTTAATACATACTTTTTGAAATATATTAGTCGGTATCTTCAGATTAATCTTTCAAGATAATATATCACCAAATGCAAAGCATCACTTTCTGCGGATGGAGTCCAGTTTTTGGGGTCGAAAGTGGTTTTGTCTAGGACTGAGCCATTGTTTAGAGAATCCATTTTCAACACCAGTGACAATTCTGTCCAAAAATGGTTCACGCGCATTACGCGCCAGAGAGACGAAGCAACGTTCACACGTTGTAAACGATTATCATCAGATAGTTTG